CATGGCTTCTGAACAATATGAACTGTCTCTTAAAAGCAGTGGCTCTAGCATTTGTTTCTCATATTATTCATAATGCAAATCCCCCTTTGCAGAAAATAAATTTGACTTGAAACTTTTGGTGCGTGGTTCTGATTGAAGTGCCTCTTATATTTTATGAGATGGATATAAATCTAAACTAGGCTAGTTTTCTCCCTTGTCATATTTAATCAGACCTAATTAAGAAATAGATTAATGGATTTAAATTAGTTGTTGTAAGTTACCAGATTTTCAGATAGCTTTAATTTCTCTTCATGATGGCTGAAATCCTCAGCATTCTTCTTGCTTGGCTGAGTATTTTGTTTCCCATATTTAATGTTCACTTTACTCACATTCTTCAACATCGTACCCCCTGTGAGTAGGAATCCTCCTTGTTTCCAAGGCTGATTTTGTAGACTGGAACCATGAGGGTTAATTAAGCTTAAAATTAACCGTATAATGTAATATTCCAAGATAAAAATAGGCATATCCTCCAGCACTTAAAAGGGCACATTAAATGAAATGCTAAGCTGGGCTTAGCATTAACCAAGTGTAAGAAATAACTCATGGATGCTGTACTCATTAACAGAGCTGATCACCTCATGTCCAGCCAAGTATTCAGGTCACCTTTGTAATGCTAGCCAGTGCTTTTGGATGTATTAAAAAAATAATAAAAATGAACATAGTAGGCATATAGGTCTAAACAGAATTTGACCCGCTATTTCTGGGGTCGAGGAAATGTAATGTTTGCTACAGAGACTATTGGCTATTTAATTGTAAATTAGCCAGTAATCTGATTTTGGACAATAAGACACAGAACCATGACCAGACTGGTTAAAGAAAAAGGTATGGTTCCAGAATGTGTTGAAGCTCTTTGCCTTAACTGTTTCTGGAATCATTTCCCTATTTATATGTAATGCTAAGCCTAATCAGTGATTTATAGAGATATAGCTGTCCATCCAAGAGAGAGTCTTGGATGTTCCAATATATAACTTTGCCTTTGTGATTCTTTAAAAGTCAGCTTAATGTGATTTGGGTTGCTCTGAGTAAATTTCTTAATACTATATTCTGCGGCTGAAGTATAAATATATTTGAATGTGAAGAAAAAAGTTATCAGGAGAATAAGATAAGATACAAATAACAACTGCTAAGTATCAAATGACTTATTTTTTCCCCTCATAAACTATCATTCCTTTTTCCTCACCTTTTACAGAATGGAAGCTGGAGACGTGGATGCGGCAAGATGTGAACCAGGTATCTAGTTGCTTCAAACCCGCTGTTTTTTAACTTGTTTTTTTATAGATGCTACAAAGAAACATAATTATGATAATAAGTTATCATATTAACAGGGGCTTTCTTCTTTCTTCTTTTATTTTAACTGTGGACTAACAGCCAAACACTGACCCATTGACAAGAACTCATTCAAGTGTGACCTTGCTGTGGTGTACAAGTTGGGAATATTGGGGTGGGGACCTGGGCGTTCTCTCCTCTTAAGCAAATGTCCCTCTGCCTTCCGTTATTTCTTTTATCTCTATTGTGTGTTTGTTCATGCTCTCTGATTGCTGTTACTGTATTTTTCCGACAATAAGACGCCCCCATGTACAAGACGACCCCCACTTTTCCAACC